AAAACTTGTCACATGAAACTTATCATTTAGTAACATCTATGGTTCATTTTAAGGAGTGTTGTTTTTTAAAAGTCTGCTGTTCAAGCTCCATGAGTAGACTAGATGCCACATTTATAAAGATATAAAGTAATATATAATAATAATACAATAAAGTTCTATTCTATTCTATTCTATTCTATTCTATTCTATATGATTTCCAGATATCAAACCCCATCTTTTGTATGATGTGCCCTTTTGTTTTTAGAAACAGCATTTGTATTTGGATTCTCAGCTACTAATAGCAGAGTTTCTACTTACATAAACCAAATAATTTTGAAGAAACAAAGCAAATATGTGATGTAGGAGACCTGTTGGTGGGAAACATCGCTGGCTGTCTTCTTTATTCTTCTTTATTTTTTAAAAAAAGCAATGGTGCTAAATGAGGATTAACCTTTGCAGCCCACAGCTTGTTTGGTTTCACTAAAACGTACCCTGCATTCCAGATCACATACTTCTTCGTTTTTCTTTCAGTACATATTGCAGCTGCCTATGCAAAGTACGTACTGTTAGTTGTCTTGTGCATACAATTTGGTCATGGTATCTTGTTATAACATTGCACCTTAAACTTTGACTGTTTTGCTCATATATCTGCAATTGGCTGAGTGAAATATGTGTAAACTTAGTGTATACACCATGATGTATGTTCCTCTGCACACAGTCAAAATGGTCAGAAAAGACCAGATATGGGAGGACATCATTGTATTTTTGGCCCACTGCATTTACCATAGTTTGCATTGGGATGTTATAAATCTTCTTCTGGCATGCTATATATACATATATATATAATATGATAATATGTGTAATGGAACCATCCATACATCAGTTACTCATCTTTTTCTGTTGCATTTCTGACAGGATAGATGGTGTTGGTTTGTTTGCTGGCCCCCAGTGTTACTTGAATTGAACTTTTGACATCCATCCATTATCTACAAACTGCTTCATCCTCTGTAGGGTTGCAGCAGGGCTGGAGTCTATCTCAGCTGACTTAGGGTGAAGGCAGGCGACACCTGGACATGTCACCAGTCTATCACAGGGCCATACAGAGAGACAGACAGCAAAGCAACAATCACCAATTAACCTTAGCATGTCTTTGGACTGTGGGAGGAAGCCGGAGCACCTGGTGAGAACCCACACAAGCAGCAGAGAGAACATCTTATTACCTTGCTTTTTGAACCCAGGACCTTCCTGCAGTAAGGTATCAGTGCTAACCACCACACTACCGTGACACTCTAACTCTTGACCTGCACCTACTATCAGCAATAACAGGTGTCACCAGTAAACCAAAGCAGAAATCTCAAAGACAATAACTTTAAAACTGCACTAATCAATACTTTTACATGAAGCATGGGCCAGTTGACTATGTGTAACCTCAAAGGTGTCACCACTAAGAAACCTAGCCCTGTCTTTCCATTCATAGTTTTGGTGTTAAAGACCACAGTGATGCTGCTTTTAGAGTCTTACTTCTCCTATAACACTGTTTCCAGCCTCTGCAGGGAATCTGTTTTCAGTGAAAAAGGTCTAAAACCCACTGTGCACCACCTGCCCAGCACCACACGGCAGGTAACAACAAGCCTGGTGGAGCATTTAGCACCGTAAAGAGACTGTTTCCTTGGTTCAGATCAAAGACAAAATACCAAGGAGAGGCAGAAACACATTCCCAGACAAGTACACATGTTGCTACTGAATGGAGAAACACAAAATTGCTTCTTGATAAAATGTTTGACATAGTTTTAGAATATCACAACATATCTGTGTTGTCAGTGTAAGAACACCAGTGGAAAACATCTCTGCTTTTAAAACCAAAAAAATCAGCAAGGGGTCAGTTGACCGCTGAGTGTCAGTCAAACATCACCTTTTGACATCTTCTGGGTTTGTTTCTTTTGGGGGAGCATGTGAAGAGTTTCGTTTCTGGCTCATTTGTTTGTCTGTTTATGTGTGTCCTGGGGAGAGGTGCGCTGATGGATATGTCAATGAACAGAGTAATGTTCAGAGGCGAACAAACGGAGGATGAAATTCACTGACACATGCGTAGAACCGGGAGAATTCTAAACATGAAACAGCTGAACTCTGACAGCAAAAAAGACAGCGAGGAGCCTGTTATGTCCACACATAGAAAACACCCTTAACATCCCACTCACACACATGCAGTTGCAAGTTTGCAGCTTACGAGCAATTGACCTCTGACCCTTGCCCCACGGTGCAACTACCGTCCTCCTGACTGGTGTGTAATTAGCAAAACTGCCACAAGAAAACAACCCTAATCTGGTTCGTGTGTGTGTGAGTTTTAAAGAAACTTCACATTATATAATGTGAAGATGATCCTGGTCTTTACATTTGGTGGGAAATCTCCCAAGCACACCAATAAATGAGTAAATTCCAAATGCTGATACACGACTCCCTAATGAATCTGTTCCCTGTTGTGTCATTTATGGCACAACTGAGTCAACCCACATGTCTTCTAAACACAGCGGATATAACCTTTTTGATCCTTTCCTCCATGTTGTTTTCTTCTTCTTTATTATCACATAAATCTATTTCCTCCTGCCTCTACTTGGTACATTTTTTGCCTGAACAGAAAGTTACAAATACTGTAAATCCATGTTAGTAGAAACCTGTGCGTTTGACAAAAACTACGATTATCGGTTGATGTTAGCTGTTGCTGTCTGCTGATTCTCCTCTCCTGCTTGTGCCATCATCTTCCTATTATCCTACAGGTTACACAGCAAGCAGGACGCCTCTGTAATTGCTGGACAGGATGTAAACAGAAGTCCATGAATGTAAACGTGGGTTGTGATTACGTTTCGGACCTTGACAGTGAGGACATTTGTCACTTGGTTCTCACTTCTTCAAATGGTTGTTTTGAGAGACTTGTGGGATTCAAATTCAGGGTCAGGGTCAGTGGAGCTGTGATGTTAAAGGTTGCCGTTACCGGGGAAAAGTGGTATGTCAATGAGTTTTCTCACAAGCATGGAAGCTTACGTGAATCTATATGTGTGTGGGAACCTGATTCATGTTTTGTAGCATGTTTGGGTCAAATTTATGACCCAGGAAGGTGAGAAAATCCTACTGGGTGACTAATCTGGGGGACTATTGCTTCATACAAAAAGCACACCATCATCTCCAGAACAGTATTACTCAATGAAGACATTGAAGGAAAGTGACAAATTCTCTCAAGTGCTACCACAGTTTTGAGGTATTTCACATTATGAGAATAAAGTTTGTCAGCTGTAAAGTAGCAGACTTTATAATCAGTTTACTAGCTATGTTAGTCAGAGCTGTGTCTGTGTGCTTGACACAAAGTCAGACATGTTTCTGGTTGATGCTAGATGCAACCAAGTTTTCCCCTTTTCTATCTGTGTGACTTTTTTTTAATGGGGTGAGTTCGAGCCAGGAACCTCAGAAACTCAGCTTTTTGCAGATGATGTGGTTCTGTTGGCTTCATCAGACTGAATATGAAGTGTTGGGGATAAGACTCAGCACCTTTAAGTCTACAGCCATGTTCCTCTGCTGGAAACTGGTGGATTGGATGGGTATGAGTTGATGGCCCAAGCAAAGGCGTTTCAGTATCTCAGGATCTTGTTCAGGGGTGATGGGGAAATGCAGCTTCAGATGGAGAGAGGAATTAGTGCAGCATCAGCTGTGATGTGGGCGTTATGTGGGCATAACCTCACCTGTGGCTATCAGCAGTGGGTAGTGACAGAAAGACTGAGAGCACAGAAACTGTAGGATGGCTCAGCTAAGTCTCAGAGGCATGATGAAGAGCTCGGACATTCAGAGGGAGCTCGGAGTAGAGTTGCTACTTGGAAAGGAGTCAACTGATTTGGTTTGGACATCATATGAGGACGCCACCTAGGTGGAGGTTTTCTAGGCACATCCAACTGTGAGGAGACACTAAGGTAGATACAGAACTCACTGAAGGGATTGCATATCTCACCTGGACTGAGAACACCTTGGGATCACCCAGGAGGAGTTAAAAAAATGCTACTGGTAAAAGGTACGACTGGAATGCAAGGCTTAGCCTGCTGCTACTGAGACCCAAGCCCAGATAATACGATTGCTACTTTAGAAACTACATACAACAAAGACACAAATATGTGCTCCATTTATAAAATGTGATGATTCATTTGATATTTATCCTTTTAGCTTGTAGGACTGGGACAGTGACTACATAGGTTCCGTTCCACATAGCCAGCCTTTATGACCTGCCTGCTTTCACTATCATTCAGTGGAAAAACACTCTGGTTTGCGTGTATTGCTTTAACCCAACCACAACTGTCTTGGGCGGCACTAAGCCCACAGGGGTCCCTACTAAATAGTGTCAGATGGGAAACTGCTGAGGCAGAGCATGCATTGAAAATGTAACTTATTTCATTATGGTGGGTTAACATGCAGGAACGTCCCAGTCAGACAGCAAATGTTGTCAACATATTCTTTGTAGATCTTCACAATCCATCATCGAAAGGTTCCAGGCAGGCCCGCCTTAATGTACTTTCCATGTCCAGTGTATAGGTTGCTAACTCAAGAAGCTGCTTTTTCCTGTAGTGAAGGGGGATTTTAAAAAATGATGACATGCTTTTTGTGGAAGGGAAGTGACGTATGCAAAAGACATAGAAGCAACAAATAAATCATCAACTCGCAGAACTTCTGTGACCCCTGATCTTTCACCCTCGGTAGTGAGACACTCGCCAACATTCAGGGCAAACACACAGTGAGAGAAAACAATGTTAAACTATGATTTAACGTGACGCATACGGGCACAGAGTAAAAGTATGCCCGGTATGCGTCAGCTGGAGTTAGAGGCAAACACAAGAAAGCCCTCAGAGGACTCCCTGGCAACCACAGCACCACATTCAAAGTGCTACATTTGACCACTTGAATGCGCATTTGTGCATCTGGGCCTCCATCTGCCATCTGGGAATAGGAGAGAAAGACTGGCACTCATCTAATATCAGTTGACTCACTGCATTCCTGACCATAACCACATGGAGCCATGGAGTTTCCCGTATCAGTGACTTAGCCAGGTGGTCCCTCAAGTCCTGCAGGGGCATCCTGGGGCAACCCCGACTCGGAGAAATTACATGTAATCTAAATCGCAACAGCAGATTATATATTTCATTATTAAAAAACTGTTGACATATTGACATTTCTGCACCAATACATTTAATCTTGCAGTACAATTTTCACTTATACTCACAACAGCATTGTTCAGCTTTTTGTGGTTCTCAAAGCACTTGTTTAAGTTTTTGGAAACACTGTGGTCTGATTTCATACAACACAAATCCACACTGACTTGCCACAAAATGTGTTAATTCACATTTAACCAAAAACCCTGATCGTTTGATTAAGTTTGCCAAAGTGCTTTCTGTTGCCTAACCCTAACCACAGGATCTGGATGGGATCCCCAATCTGGGGTGCGACATCCCGCTGACTCCAATTAACGTCATAAATAATAAGACGATTCATTGGCGGATTCGAGAAATTTAGGAAAAATTATGGTTTGACTTTTCAGGCATTTAAAGGATAATTGAGTCTTGCTCTTGCAGAAACAATAACATAATTGTGTTGCAGCAATATCAATAAAAAGAAGTTTTATAGGGGAGGAAACATAAGCGGTCAGATACTCGTACATGTTTTGAACAAACATCCAGCTGCACCGAATTTAGGGCTTTAAGGGAGTAAAGAAAGTCAAGTGTGCTTGTCACATCCAACACACTGATTTAGATAATCTGGCTAACGTGGTGACTTTTTTTTACAGCCTGTCTGGCTGATTGTGTTTTCTTGCCTAGTCAAACTTTGATGTCATAATAACCAATAAAATTATAAGAAATCCTTATTGCCCATTAAGGAAAAATGATTTAATTAAAGTACCCTTCACAGCTCATTGTCAAAAGACGATACAACACGTTTAAGAAGCAGCTGCCGACATGTATATCATTTCGACAACAACTTCAGGTGCAGGTCTGTAGTGGTGTGTGCGTGAAAAAGAGTCCATAAACACCTGGTTTTCCTCTGATGTCAGTCAAGCTGCATGACAGCATTGCATAAGAGGCTGACGTATTTCGCTTTCTGTTATAGGATCATCTGGTATGCTAACACCCTTGAAGAAATGTGTGCCAGATGTGTGTGTACGTGGGTACGGCTATGTAGCACATGCCAGTAGTTTGTGCACCCGAAGTGTATTCTCAAACACACTACATGCTGCCATGGCAACGTTGCAAACACAACACATAAACAGTAATGTCTGTAAACTGCCTTCACCGAAGTGAGGTTCGGTGTTGAAGAGCAGGAACGACAGGTATGTTGAGCCAGAGGTACCTCGGTGTTGCACAACAACAAGGAAACCTCTTCAATGTAACACTAGAACATTTCCAAAGGGCCAGGTTATAATGACAAAAGAACTGCACAAATAGCTGTTGTGTATGACCTTCAGCTGCACCTTTACACACTTACAAACAAATTAAAAAAATGAAAAAAAATAAAACTGTAATTTTACTGTATTAAAATACAGAAAACTACCAATAAAGCCACAAAACCAGACTGTCAACTTACATTTCAATTGCTTTTCTTTCTTGCAAAAACTTTGATAAATCAGACTTTTAAAAAACTAAAAAGACTGTTAAAAGTTTCATTTATTGTAATTATACTAATAGAATCTTTTAATCAGTCAAATGAACAGAAAAGCATCCACTGGTTCTGTAATTTCACATTGATTTGTTTGTTAAATGAGAGATATTTTGCACATTTAAATACATTTTCCAAACAACAATGTTCAATGAATGTGTTTTTGTCTCTGTATAAAACGCTAATCTGTCAAAACACTGTTTGTAATCATATAATCATCATACAATCAAATGAACTGTCTTTACCATCACATATATATGTTATTGTTACAGGTTGTGGGTAAGTTTATTGTTATTTACACATGTTAATATAATTCATTAAACATTAAAGAGCCCAAATAATTGCACATGATCCCAAAATATATTTTATGTACAAGAAATTGCTATATTTTTATGAGATGGTTGTCTTTCATTATATAATATACAGTTTAATGTAGTTCAGTTATTTAGCAGACAAGCAGCAGCTGCTTTATATAATAAAGGTCACATGTGGTTAAGTACTTTATTCTACCATGTTCTGCATTTTATTTTATTTACTCCATATTTAAAAAATGTGTCTCAATCTTGATTTGATGCTTCCTAAGAAACTCATGCAACAAATCTCCAGGAAGACTAACAGAAGGCACTCTTCCTTGTTAATTGTCAAGTCAGGAGGAATCAGGAATCATATTTCTTGTTTAGCACTTTCTACATGAGAGAGAGAAACTGGCTGATTTACATGATGGGGATTTTCTTCTTTTCCCCGAAAGGAATCAGATCTCCACCATGGAACTGTGTAAACAGAGTTTGGCCCCTGCAACATGAGTAATGCTGCATAGCGCACGCACACACACACACACTAAATCACAAACCCTGCAATTACTGTAGGAAATACACAGGTACTTTGCACAATGGCATGTAAAAAGACCTCAATCCACTGCAGTGTGATTTGTGGAGCTGTAAAAATATACTACTCATTGTTGAGTGTTTGCTTGAAGTTATTATTAGTCCACGGGGAAGGCATGTTTGAAAAGTGGACCGACCGATGTCAAAGCGTCTTTGTGAGAACGAAGACGGCAGCAATAGCTGGAATTCCTCGTCTATCTCTGCAGTGTTTCAGTCGTCATAAAAGGTGCAGCAGACACTCTGACACAGAATGTCACTAACACTGGAAAGAACTTCTGTTTCTGCTGAGAAATTATAATTTTAAGATGATAAAAGAAAGTCAATAATCAATTCATGGAGCTGATAAATTGTTATACTACATGCCACCATCTTTCAGGAGGTCGAAGGTCAACAGTAAGTTGCGCAAAAGCCCCTCAGGGAGCAGATGTTTGCTCCAATGGGAGTTGGTTTCAGAGCCTCTGATTGAAGGAATGTTGTCTCTACACACTGCGTCACCCTGCTGCTACAACGTGCCGCTCATTTAACAGTGAGATGCTCCATAAAACAATGTTTAGACTGTGAGAAGTTTCCCAGAAAAAAATTATAGGAATTTGCTGAGAAACAGCCATCATTTATTGTGAAACTAAATTTTCGCAGAATTATACACAGCAATGCTGCCGTACTGGATTCTACCATCTTTACAAAGAGGTTGTGTTCAAATGCAAATGACCGTGAGGTTAAAAGTGCAGCAGAATCTACTTTTTTTTTTTGTATGTGTGTGAGGCACTAATGCTGGCAGGAGTGAACTGATACAGGTGAATTTTCAAAGAACAGGGTTTGTATTTAAAGAATAAAGATGCAATAATGTGACATCTCCTTTCCATTCAGTGCTATTGAAGCTTGACCTACGCACAAAATGTTTGTCTGCTGTTTTGGTACGATGTGCAACTGGCTCTGACAGATTCACAGGTCAGCTTTGTTCAACTTTAACCTTGTATTTCTTGCTTGCGATTGCTCTGATCAATATTTAAGATGCCGCATGACGGCATTTTACAACTTTAATCAACACACAATAGTGTTCTGACAACAACAGTGCAAACACAAAACTGCCAGCTCCATGATGAATGTAACAAATCAGGAATGATAATCTGAACCAAAACAAAAGTAATAGAAAATAATATAATCTAAAGAAACTAACAAACTCTCTGATCTAGAAACCCCACTAATTCCTCTCATATTGTTTCCAGTCTGACTGTCGACTTCCTGTATTTAGCAGCTCTGCTTTAAGGGCTGCATCTGTTACTCAGGCCTGACAAGGGATGCTTTTCATTATTCTAACTTATCCTTCCTCTCTCCTCCTTCATCCATCCATGCAGTTTCTTCTGCTTATCCAGAGTCAGCAGGTTGGGCAGGACATTGCAGACTGCACACTCCCCAACTTTCCAGTTCCTCCCTGGGATCCCAAGGTGTTCCCAGCCCAGATAAGATATATAATCCCTGCAGTGAGTTGTGGGTCTACCTCAAGGTCTCCTCCCAGTTGTACGTGCCTGGAAAACTTCCAGAGGAAGACACCCAGGAGGCATTCCTGATCAGTTGCACGAACCACCTCAACTGGCTCCTTTCCACGTGAAGGAGACTCTATTTCGAGCTCCCTCTGAATGCCTGAGCTCCTCACCTCATCGCTCAAGCTGAGCCAAGCCACCCTACAGAAGAAACTCATTTTGATCATTGCGGCCCACGACCTTGTTCTTTTGATCACCACCGAGAGCTCATGACCATAGGTTAGTGCTAGAACATTGAACGAATGTTAAATCAAGAGCTTTGCCTTCCGGTTCAGCTCCTTCCTCACCACAACAGTCTGGTACAACACCTACCTTACTGCTGATGCTTCACTAATCTGTCTGTCCATCTCATGCGCCATTTTCCCATCACTTGTGAATAAGATCCAGAGATACCCAAGCTTCCTTTCTTTAAGCCAAACAAGTTTACTCAATGCTGATTAAGCCTATCAGTGGCAGGTAAATCTCTGTGTGTTACGAGGTACACCAAACTTTTAAATCTGGTTTCTGTGGCGACATGTTGGAGCTGGGTCTTGGTGTGTTTTGCGTCAACCAGCAATGATTGCTTCGCCAGAGCAAAAGAAGGAAGCAGTCGTGGTGACAAAGAAGGAGAACGCTACAGCAGCTAGTAGTATGGTGGAACCTATGGCAGAATGTCCAAAGATGCGTTCAAGGAAAGTGTCCGAAAGTTGGTGTTTAGAGGTAGGATTGCATTTTCAAAAGAAAGAGATCAACAATGAGGTCTTCATCTTAATATCAGCATTATTTGTGTTATTTCTATCATTGCCAGAAGGAGGAGTCAAAAGTTCTGCACCGCAAGTTTAAGGAAATACAAAAAAAGTGATACAAATAGAAACAGAAAATAATGTACATCAATACTAAATACACTCAGAATAATGTATGAAAAAAGCTGCTTCATTAACTGTCAGATTGTAAAAAGACACATTATAATTATCTAAAGAAAAATACTGTCCTAATATTATTTGTAATAACAGATAAGATGAC